AACTGTAATTTTAAAAGTTAGTTTTTCTTAAAATAAACATAATTATTAATATTAAAAAGTGACTTTGCATACTTACATACATACATATGATGTATATTACAAAAATTAAATAAAATAGAAAACCATCTGTGATGGTTTACTAGCCGATATTTGGTTTTATACTCGAAAGTAATAATTTATTGAAAATAAAGAAATGACAAAAGTTGTATGCTCAACCTGGTGTGTATGTATTTTGGAAGTCCCAATTTAAGGCATAGCATTTATTGCCAAGTGACTTAACTTAATAAATAATTTCATAAGCACACCAAAAACAAAATTTTTTGATGTAAATAAAATGGTGCCAACAGCAAATTTCAACATCTAAAAATAAATAGAATTTTAAAACAGTTACGCATGCAAGTAAAGGCTCCGCAAGAAGAAAGAAAAAAAAATAAATTTACTCAGACAAACACACATAAGTTAGCCCGAGCAAAAGTTGGCAGAAATTATTTTCTAATTTAATTTTCCTTTCGACGCCATTTTGTGGGCATCGACTTGAAAGCACAGATCCAAAATAGACATGCCAAATAATATTATGCTTTACCCAGTTTGTTGGTTGTTGCAAAAACACGCAGTACGAGTGAGTGAGTGAGCGAGTGAGTAAGAAGCGGGGAAACCTTTTCCAACAACATACTATAGTCAAAATAAACCGCACACTTGACCCTCAAGGCACTGTGGAATAGAATTATGGTGTGCCGAGAAGCTTTTTCGAAAGTACACACAGCCTTGACGTCGACTCTCCTGACTTTGTTTTTGTTGCTGCAACTGCTTTTCCTTTGCCATCTAACTTTCTACCACAACTTCTATGCTTCGCAGTTTGTTTGAACTTCTTTGTGTGCCGTTAGCCGCTCGACGAAATTAATTTTCAATTTGTTTTAAATAAATAATTAGGTAGCAAATTGTAAAATTTAATTTCTGAATGTGCAGCCGAAATGGCAAGAACGGTTGGCAGCTGGACTGAAATAAAGCAAGCAAAAAGTCAGTTGCGGGTTGTTGACTTTTCCTGTTTGCTCTTGTTGTCGTTGTTGGCGTCAGTACTAATTTCAACGAACGTTAATCGGATTAAGAATATTACGCCGGAAAATATTTGCTTTGTAACGGTTTCATCTGCTCTTCTTACCCAAGTTTATTTGCTTACCTGCGTTGCTTTTTATCAGAATATTTAATTATGGCTGTATGTTTGTAGGTGCATATATATTTGATATAAAATGTACGTTTTCCTATTTATCTGTGCAAGTACATGCATATTTCTACATATACTTTCATACACACATAAACTTCGTTTTATTTGCGAGTCGCTTAACATTTAGCTTTGCCAAGTCAAGTTAGTCTCGGGGGAGCGGCTTAATGCGCAGTAATGTTATTTAGTGCCAACAGCTGTTTATGTTCACTCTACATACATACATATGCGAGTGTATATAAATACTCTCTGTCCATTTTGGCAGCCATTTTATTTTTTTTATTTTATTCTTGCTTTAGCTTTCTGCTTTGCGAAGTTACTGCCGAAAGGGTTAACTAATTATATTTCAATGTGCGTGTATGTATATGTGTGTGTGCGTGTCTATGTGTTTATGTATGCGTATTATGTCGGCTGTACATATTTGTGTGGTTGAGGTTTAATCAGTCCATCTTTCTCTTTTTCTCTCTTACTTTTTCACTAAAGCAACGTGGTTAATCGCGCCAAAAAGTATACTATATCATTTACATGCTAATTAATATTTAATTTGTTGAATAAAGGAATTTATAACTTTGCTTTGCTTACGAAAATATTTACTTTGGAGTTAGTTAGGGAAAAGGTTGTGCTGACCGTCGTATATTGGTTTGTGTGTGTGTGCGTGCACATGCAAATTACTTGCAGTTTTTAAACGTAAATATAAATACTCGAACACAAATACCGTTGGACTTTGAGTTCTTTCCAAGACGCCTCAGTGAAATCCCTAAAACTGCCGCTGTTTTGCTTTGTTTAAAGGATTGGAAGGCATGAAAACAACTGTGTGTTGGCAACTTTGCTTGAAGTGCGGCTTATAAATTTGTAAGCTTACATTTTCACAGTTTCTTCGCATTCATTCTGTTTATTCATTGGACTTAAAGAACTCTAAACGGCCGCTCGGATAGATTGACTAAAAGGTATTTTCCTTCCGAAAACTTAAAATAAAACTCACTAACACCACAGTACACTCTCTAAATCTGCCGAATAATAACTAATCGTCGGTCGTGAAGTCCATAAGATATCTTATGTGACTGCTGACGAGCATAAGAAATACAAACGCAAAAAAAATTTACTTTACTTATTTTTCTGCTTATTTTTGTTTTTCATTTTCTTTTTTATTCTATTTATTTAATTTTATATTTATTTAAAAGTATTTTTTTCCATTTTATTTTTGTGCTATATTTCATTTTTTTTTTATTTTATTTTGTTAAAATTTTATTATTTTTATTATCTTAAATTTTTGTTTTTATTTTCTTAAATTTTTTTAATTCTATTATTTTTTCTTATACTTCTACGCAAGTTGCATATGAATTATTTTCGCGATTACATTATACATTGAGTTAGCAAGCGTAGTACATGCAGCGTGTAAATGGTCTGAAGTTTCGCTTCTGCTGTTACATATACGACATTTGTCTGTAGGGGCATTTATGTCTCGAATTGCGTACTTAACATAATTTCTGGTGGGAACGACTTCATCTTGAATTGCAAAAATGGTGCCTTCCGTTTCGGCGAATATTGCTCGGATTGTGAGCCATAAGTGCGATATATTTTTGTCGACAAACGGACTCAACAAGTCTTTGCGATATCCACCGTGAACTGCCATTTCAGACCACCTCTGAGGTTTTTCGTCCGACGATGTCGTGTTTCTGTCTTCAGAATGCTGTTTCATTCGCACTAGAGGGAAGTTATTATCAGCCTGATGGATCTCAGACAGTGATGACTTTACATGAAAGTATGTTCGTAGATTTAAAAAACAACTTATGCAGCTCGGTTGTTGACCATTTTATAATTCTGAAACTATTGGATACTACAGGTACAACAATTGAATTAATGTCATTTGTCTGTTTTCTCCTATTTAATTGGGTTTTGCATAAAGCAGTGAGCTGCCTTCTAAGCTCAGACACCAGATTTTTCCACATCTGCATCATCAGTATCTACACAATTGCTTTGCATGACTCCAAGATACTTGTATGCCACATTTGATTCCATTTCTTTTATATCAAGGCCACCAGGCTCAACGGGATTGTCCCGGGGCATAACCTTTCCTTTTATAATAGTGATTTTACGACATTTATCGGGACCGACAGGCATTTCAATGTCATTTGAGAATGTTGCGACACATTCCAAGAGCTTTCCAAGATGGTTTGGCTTGGCGGCATAGAGCTTGTGATCATCTGCATAGAAAAGATGGCACAATCGGCATCTTCCATTCTGGCCATGTCTCACTACATATCCACATCCAGCATTTGGTAGGATATGACTGAGGGGATTCATACTGTTGATTATATTTTATTTTTTTTATGTCATTTTGTTTAATTTTGATTTATTTAAATAATATAAATTAACTTAACTTTATTTCATTTCATTTCATATTATTTTCTTTTATTTTCATTCATATTGTTTTTATATTTTGTTTTATTTTTTTTTTTTTTTTTTTTTTTGTTTTTTTTTTTTTTTTATTCATTTTATTTAATTTATTTAATTTACTATTAATTTATTTTATTTTGTATATATTTGTTGTATTTAAAGTCGTTTTATATTATTTTAATTTATCTTATTAGCTTTTATTTATTTTATTTTACTTTACTTTTATTAAATCTTCCTTTATGTAATTTTATTATATTTTGCTTTATTGTATTGCATTTTATCTTATTTTAATATAGTCCAGTTTATTATTATTTCATTTATTTTACTTTTCTTATTTTATTTTATTATTTTTTATTTTATTATATTTTATTTAATTTTAGTTTATTTTATTTTATTTTATTTTATTTTATTTTATTTTATTTTATTTTATTTTATTTTATTTTATTATTTTTAATTTGTTTATTTTATTTAATTTTATTTTAATTCATTTTAATTTCATATATAATATATTATTTTTTTTATTTTTTCGTTTATTGTATTGTATTTTATTTTAAATTAATCACTGTTTGTTTTATTTTATATTGCTTTATTTAATTTATTTTCATTTACTTAATATTTATTTAATTTTAATATATTTTATTTTATTTTATTTTATTTTATTTTATTTTATTTTATTTTATTTTATTTTATTTTATTTTATTTTATTTTATTTTATTTTATTTTTATTTGTATTATTTTGTTTTTTTTACTTTAATTTAGTTTCTTTTTGTTTTGTTTACTATTAGTTCAGCTCATTTTTTTATTAAATTTTATTTTGATTCATTTCATTTTATGTTTTAATTTTTATTTGGTTTTATTTTTAATATTAATATAGCATTTAATTTAAATTAATTTACATATTATTTTATATGGCAGTTACAAAGAAGCAATTATCTATATATATATATATATATATAGATATGTGAATTATTTTGTGTATTGTGTATATGTTTAATATTATTTTATGGCTTTTCGCTGTCCTTCTGTTAATTTTTTTTCAGTTATTTTTGAAAACTTACTTAGAATTCCCTCCAGAGCTTACTACACTTATGTACGTACTTATCACGGCTTAGGAACACTGCAGGCGATGGCGAAGTGTTCTGGCTGCGCTTTAATTATGCCAGCTAATTCCATAATATATCTTTTAGTAATTCTAGCATGTATTTAAGTACATACAGGCATTCAAATGCATGTATATATGTTTAAGATTATATATGTATCTGTATTTAGTTTTCCCTAAAGCATCTCTGACCATTTTGCTCACAACATTACTTCTACTTTCTTCTCTTTTCATGCGCTGTACTGTGAACTATCCACCGGTGGCTAATCTTCTTGAAAATTTCAGATGCAAGTTACTCCTATCATCCTTCTATACATGATGAGACATTCGTGCGACGTAAGCAACGACGTAATCGTACAACATTCACACTGCAACAGGTGAGTTGGTGCAATAAGAGGGAGAGAGAGAGGGATAGGGAGAGAGAGAGAGAGATGGGAAGATACTTATCTTGAAACAGAGTATTTAAAAATTTTTAGTTATTTTCGTTCATTTTTGCTTTTTGTTTTTGATGTTTCTTATATCTTCTTATATCTACTATTATTTTTTCCCCACTGAAAATCTCTACGCTCCAATAAATAAAAATTTGTCTTTTTCTCTGCTCTCTTTGCACTGTACAGTTGGAAGAACTGGAGACTGCCTTCGCTCAGACCCATTATCCGGATGTATTTACACGTGAGGATTTGGCGATGAAAATAAACTTGACGGAGGCGCGCGTTCAGGTGAGAAAAACTAAATGCTTGACGTACTATCCATTCACATATAAATTGCTAAGCTAAATAAATAAAATGTGTAGAAATTCTATAAATAAAATTATCCTTTTCTTTTGTTCGTTGATAAAAGTGTACTCGTTGTGTGCAAAAAGGAGTAGTAAAAAAAATATGAAATGAAATCAAGATGGGTTTTGAATTTGTAAGCAGCATGGGGAAGCGGGCGCTCATAAAAAGGGCAAAATTCATATTTTGATAAGTGTCTGTATGTATTTAGATATTTATATATTTTACTAAAAAAAAAAAGATTCATAAATCGTATCAAATTTCACTTGCTTTACCAGTTAACCGGCGCGTCGACTGCCAACTGTTATTTTATTCATTCATAATCAGCCGCACATTCACTCAGCTCTCTCAGTCAGTCAGTCGGTCTGCTAGCCAGCCAGCCCTTCAGTCAGTTATGACTAACCCCCATTATAGCTCAATTATTGCCTTTTCGCCTCTTTGTCTGCTCAGTTACGCCTTGTGATCAAAGGCTCAGCTGTATTTTCATTGTTGTTGTTGTTGTTGTCGTTACATATTTTAGATTCTTATCCACATTGACTATGAAAAATATCCTTCGTATTACTTTTCAAATATTTTTTATATTACGAACTTGCTTATGTCTATCAATTTGTAGATGGCAACTTAGAGCCACTGTTGTTTGTAGTTCATTATTTATGTATATGGACAGAGTTGTAGATGTGTGTTTGTGCTGGTATAAAAATAAATATATATTTTTTTTATTTTCTAAAAATTAAAGTAATAACTGGCAACAAATCTTGAATATGAGTAAAGAAATTACACGGGAAAAAATTGATTTGGTTAAAAAAGTATGACGAAGGAGAAGTTTTTTGTCTCTAAAATTAAAAATTGAAAAACAATAATAATAGAATTTAATATTTTAATTTTGAAATATTTGTCATGATATTTCTGCTCTGCTTGCCTTGTAGAGAATGTGTTAAAAAATTTTCATGATCAGGCTTATCGCAAATCTTTGAATGCTAGAAAGCGAGTGAGAGAGTGAGAGAAAGAGAGAATAAGAAAGAGATAGAGAATGAGAGAGAGACAAAAAGAAATGTAACGGTACCACACTAAATCTGCTTCCTAAACCTAAACCTTTCTTTTAGGTACATATATATTTGGTTTGCGTATCTTGAAGTCTGCTTAGAATTCCTTGTAATTTCAATTCATTCCGTTCAACAGAGGGATTTTTAATAAGAAGAAGACTAATAATATAATAAAATCTAATATTTTCAACCGATTTGTTTTGTATGTTAGAAAAAAAGCGCGAAAGAGGGAGAAAGAGTTAGAAATAGAGAGTAAGAGAGAGTGTAAATAAAAGATAGAAGAAAAAGTGAAGAACCCATGTATTGTACCTGCACTATCTTTCAAACGATTTTAGGTATACATATACTAGGTATGTGAATTTTGAAGTCCATCTTACATATAGACGGCTTAAAACGAAAATATTTATCTTCATCTAAGATTTTCGGTAGATTTGCGTCTTGCATTGGAAAATAAGTGAATTGCTACTTCGCCTATATACGCCGAGCATCATCTCATCTCTAAAAATCGATAAAATAATAATCCACAAAGCCTTGAGCTTGGTAGTTTAGGCCAAACCTTCTTACATATATTCAAAATCCCAGATCAGGCTTGAGCGAACATTAGGTGAGTTGAGTTGCTTAGCGTTATACTGATTTATTGTGGTTTTTCCGGGTTTTGGGTAAGTAAAAGTGCTCAAGCTCACATGATTGCTGTTACTTTATACAACCTCAACCTCAACCTCTTTCCATGAGTTGCCATCAAATTGTTCACAGTTATTATGCCCCCTGCGAGGCTATTGATTTCTTTTTGATCAATGTTCAGATCTATTTGGTCATTTTATAAGTGGTCTCACTCACTGCCTTCTATTGATCTTGGCAGTGTTGAAGCAGGTTCTTTGTCGGGGAAAGAGGTTCGCTGACGTCGTTCGTAGAGCTTATTGTGGTTAGGAAGGCTCACGATGGTCATACATTTCCCTGAAGTGGCAATGTATACAGAGGATTAAGTCACTGAGAATGTTTTCGAAAGCTTCTCTGAATCTCTGGACGTGAGATGATTGTATAGAAGTGGTATTTACAAGTGTCTTTACAAGACTAAAGATCTTTGTAAGACTAAGTGTCTTTAAGAGACTAAAGGTTTTCACAAGACTAAGGTTTTTTCAAGACTAAGGGTCTTAATAGCACTAAGGGTATTTATAAGACTAAGAGTCCTTGCAAGACTTAGAGCCTTTACGAGACTAACTTTCTTTAATAGACTAATGGTTTTCAGAAGACTAAGTATCTTTCCAGGACTAAGTGTCTTTACAAGACTAATGGCTTTTACAAGACTAATAATCTTTACAAGACTAATGGTTTTCACAAGAGGTCTTAACAAGACTAAGGGTCTTTATAACACTAAGGTTATTTATAAGACTAAGAGTCTTCACAAGACTAAAGATCTTTACAAGACTAAGTATCTTTAAGAGACCAGGAATCTTCACAAGGCTAATGGGTTTTACACGACTAAAGAATTTTGATGGTTTTCATAAGACTAAGGGTCTTTATAATTCGAAGGGTATTTATAAGACTAAGCATCTTTACAAGACTAATGGCTTTCACAAGACTAAAGGCCTTTACAGGCCTAAATGTCTGTAAGAGACTAATAGCTTTTACAAGACTAAGTGTCTCTATAAGACTAATGGACTAAGAATGCTGATACATCACTAAGGGTCTTTACAAGACCAAGTATTTTACAAGACTTAGGGTCTTTACAATACCGAGGTCTTAACAAGACTAAGGGTCTTTATAACACTAAGGGTATTTATAAGACTAAGGGTCTTTACAAGACTAAATATGTTTAAAAGACTAAGTGTCTTTAAGAGACTAGGAATCTTTACGACTTATGGTTTTCACAAGGCTAATGGGTCTTTACAAGATTAATGACATTTACAAGATTCAGAGTCTTTATGAGACTAACTGTCTTTAAAAGACTAAGTGTCTCCCAGAAGTAGTTCCGTCATAGAAGGATGTAATTTGGTATTATTGGAGTCTTCTATACTAACTAAGATTGTCTATAAACAAAAGAAGACATTGATTTCTTAAACTTCTCCCGACTCCTTCCATGCTTTCTTATTGTTCTAGGCATCCAACGTATAGTAAAGGTATAAGAACTGTAAAAAATTCAGCATTATAAATTCCAAAAAAAAAAAAATCCAAGCTTCCTCTTCGTAGGTTAAGTTTGAGGCTTTTAGAAAAAATCTTATTCTTATTTTACAAAATTTGTCTATTTTCGAAGATGCCGTTACCACATTCTCTGAGCCGAACCCCGTCCACCAAAGGTAACAAATACACTGCAGTCAGTTCGTATATTTTTAAGACATTTTTTTCTTTCAGTGTACGACTTTGGCTCATAAAAAAATTATGCCACAAATTGAAGATTTCTTACAAAGAAATCCCTTAAAATGTATTTTATTTCTCTCCTTTATTTTCTTTTATTTTTTTCCCAATTTTTTTGTTCACTTCAAAATTGAATATTTACGTGTAAAATGAATTAAAATAGGTTTTCTACAAACAATTTGTTATGCTGCAGAGAAAAAGGATTAATTTCCATAAATTGTAGTATTTTAAATCTAAAAAAAAACACAACAGAAAAGCGGCAACAAAGCTTTCAAAAGTAAAAAAACTGACATGTCTTATTTATTTTGCTGATTCTTTTTCATCGTTGTCTTGGCCAGGCGAATGGTTGACAAAATTTTCCCTTTTTCTGCATGAATTTTTTATGAATTTAATCTTTAAAATACGAATATTATTTTGGGGAATAAAAAGGGCAGTTTTTTTTTATAAGAAGAAGGCAAAGAGGAAGAAGAACGGAAAAAAATGAAAAACTAAATAAAGAAATAAGTTTTGAATTTATAATGGCGATTTTTTAAAGATTTTTTTCCAATTTTACTCTACAAAATAAAGGTTCATTTCTCGCCTCTTTTGGCGAGAATTTAATAAACGCAAATTTTACAAAGCGTGTTTTGTATATCTTCAAACATATGTACGTATAAATTTTCTACTTTACCCCATTAAACTCACATTCGAAGACCTTACTTTTGTCTAAAGTGTCTGCTCCCTATAATTTTAGCATTTTGAGGCCTCCCTCAGAGAAACCCTTGTCCTTATTGGCAAAAATTGTGATAGTCGATTTTCACAGGCTTCTCTTGAAGACAAATATTCACGAAATATTTCACCATAGACAGGAACAGTTGATAAGCACTTGGTGCGAGGCCTTAACATTAATTGATATACAATACCTTCCCAATCGAAGCTTTTGACCAGTGCGTATGATTTGGCGTTATCCTAATGAAACACAGTTACACTCCAGTTCCTGTTGGCCAAAGCACAGCGCTTCTTTGCGATTGTCTCCTTCTCACTGTACAATTGCTGACTGACAGTATAGATTCCAATTAAGAGTTTGGCTGTAGAGTAGCAGCTCATAGCGAACGATTCCTTCCCAACCCCATCAAGCACACAACAAAACCCTACTAGGTATTAAACCTGGCTTACAGACCGTTTCTGCTGGCTCACTGCCCTTCGACTGCGCCAGTTTGCGTTCGACATTGCTCTAAGTAATCCACTTTTCATTATCAGTTACCAACCGCCCCAGAAATGGTTCGATCATGTCTCTATACAGCAGCGTTTTGGAAATGTGAGTTTGGTCCATGAAGGTTTTGCGCGTTAACTCACGTGGCACCCATACGAGTATATCGAGCTGCTTTTTGTATCCAGCCATTTTTAAGTGATTCCAAACTCTTTTTTGTGCAATGTTTAGCTACTGGAAAATCAAAGCAGTGCTCGCTTGTTGGTTAGAGTAGACGATTTCCATTATATAATCGACATTTCCGACAGTTACTGCGGGTTGGGGGTTCAAGAATTTACCCGCAGCAAGACATGTCTGTCGTA